CGAGATGGACGATTTGAGAGGCTTCTTGATGGAGCAGATGGCCGTGGAGGGTTCTGCTGGTGAGTCGAGCTAGACTGCAGAGGTGCAAAGCCAGGAGGGTCAGCAGGCGTCACTCGCGCCCATACTCGCGCCCACGTTTACTGACATTCTTCCTTGCGCGCAATACCCATCCCGCAACGGCAACGGGATAGGCATCACCTTGACAGCCTTACGACAAGCCATCGAAGCGTATGAAGAAGAGAGGATCAAACAGAATGGCGGCCTCAAACAACTGTTGGATGAATCGTGGACCAACTACGTGTGGAGATCCATGCGCGGCATCCCTGGCGTCATTGCAGGCGGCCTCAAGACCGTCGCACAAGCTCGGCAAGAGCAGGCGCCGCGCAGCAATGGCCAGCCAAGCAATCCTGACGCTACGCCATCAGCGGGAGATACGGCTAGCAAGGGCAAAAGGCGACAAAAGCAAGCGATACAATTCTTCTTGGACTCGATCGATGTGGATGCTGAGACTCGCAGCGCAGACATTTCTCAGCTACAAACCCGCCATACCGATAGGCTACGCTTTGGTCTGACAAGAGAACTCTTGCTCGCCAAGCTGACAAAAGGCGATGCTTCGGTGAGTTTGAGCATGCCTTCAAAGCGTTGCCCATACGGCAGCGATGCACTGACGCGATCCTTGCGCGGGCCCGCCTTGGACAGAGCACCATGTCGGACCTGACCTTTGCGACGTTGCAGATCGTCGTACGATCCAAGAGCGCCGGCGTGTCTTTTCCCGAAATTGGCGCAGTGTTGGGTATAGACAGCAAAACGATATTCCATCACGTGCGCGTCTTGACCCAAAAGAACCTCGTCAGCAAGTACAACGAGACGCGCAACAAGGCCAGAGTGGCCGCCGTCGTTGCGAATCGTTTTAGGGAAGGAAATGCGATTTGGAAGATGGAGCAGAATAGCGCCAAAGCCGTCGAAAAGGCTTCTAAAGCTGGAAAGAATGCAAAGTCGCAACAGGAGCAGCAGCAGCAGCATAGAGAAGATGCTGATGAGGGTGCTGATGCCGATGCCGATGCCGATGCCGATGCCGGTCAGGAGGAGGCAGAAGAAGACGACAAAGGGCAGGATGAAGAAAACGAGGAAGCCAAGATGCTCTCCATCGAGCCTTCTCT